AAGTGGGCTTGAACAAAGGTTTCTCAGAGTAAAGAATTGAAATAATTTTATTTGAATAAATGTCTATTAAAATTATAGTTTTGCTGGAATTGGATCTTGGTAAATGCTGTCTAAAAAAAACGGCAATTTTCTGTTTTGTTCCCATTGTATGAGATTACATTATTCTAATCCAGAGTGTGCTGAAATTATGACTACTAGCCCTTGCTTAGTCTCAATATGTCTCACCCATAAACTTAGTTTTGTCTTTTCTGCCCTGTGAATGTCAAAAACTATATATCAAATGTTTCAAAAGCACTTGTTTATTGTTTCCCAGTTGGCAGATGTCAGTTTGAAGAGGTATTCTCACATAAAAAGGAAAACAGACTTCTGTTTGTTTAAAATTAATGGCAAAAAGTAAAAATGTAAATCTTTTAATACTGTAATTAAATTTGCACATCAGACTTTTTGGCTAACAGACTATAGTCAGTTGCATGAAGTAAGTCCATTAAGCAGGGGTTAACTGCATTATTGAAACTTCTCTGAAATTTTCAAGCACAGAGGCTTACATTGTTTAAGCAGACAAAAGGTGTTGTTTGACTTCAAACAAATGTACTGTTCCATGTATGTTCATGTATAGACAAATCTTTAGAAACCACCAAGATTCAGAATGACATTTTAGGTTGGAATGAATACTTTATTTTTATTTTTTACAAGCTGGTTTCCTCCATCAAACTGGCTTATCCTGCATTTTTTAGTCTGAGGGGTGCGACCTTCAGACACTCAATTAATCTGAAATATCTTTCAAAGGAGACACATGATATCATGAGTTATCCAGAACCAGTCATTTTCCTATTGAGAATGCACAGTAGAAATAAATTATACCCTCGTTATTATATTTCCCCATTTATTCCTGCGCACTTCTGAATGCTCCTTATTACCAGGCATATTATTAAGTGCTTTAATTCCATTGATTTGTTGAAGCTACCCAATGGAGCCGAGTTTTTCCATGTTTCCCCATATATATTTCCGTGCTGATTTGTTTTGTGTGTTTCAGTGGATTGATGTATGTTTCATAAAGGAAACAAATGCTGTACACGATACTGCTATAGTAAATTGGCCTATTTTTGGGGCATATAATTTAGTGGAAGCAAATTTCTCAAGTTTTCTTCTTCAGCCAATCACCAGAGAAATAGAGGAAGCTTTTGCAAATCTCGGACCTCCAGCACAATGGATTTTTGCACAAGGGACCAACTCTTTTTCCCTCCCGCGCAACGGACTAAATCTGTAAAAAAGACTTTGGTTGGTCCAAAATTGATGGTAAAAAGTATAAACTTTGATTTTTTAATAATTTAATTTGCAGAACAGACTTTTCATACATTACAGACTAAGTTTGTTGCACAAATTAAGTCTGTTGTGCAGGGTTTGACTGCACACACATGAACATTACAATTACATGATCAAAATCGTCAATTACATTACATTGATTGAAGCTTTTTGGCTGATGTTTCTATTTGACTGTGGCTGTGATTGTGTATCTGTGGAATTCCTGTGCACTTTTTTTTATTCAGTGTTTGAATTTTTCTGATTTTTCATGTGTGTATATAATTCTTCCAATTCCCATTTTTGAAAGAGCTTTGAAAACCTGGATAAATACATGGTACATGCAAGGTTCCTTTTCAATGCTTATTATTATTGTCTGCAATTAAATTGCTGATGGTTTTGTTTGTCTCTTATGCATTCAAGCAGGTTAATCTATAACGTATTTTTCTTGAGCAAAAATTGCAGCATTCCAAGCTGCTATTATGAGGAGTACATATTGATGAATGAATGAACAGAAAACTTCATTTGCCGCTTTTCAGCATCCACAAGGCATAACCAGAACTCCGGCATCCAAACCCCTTCCCCACCCAACCCAACTCCCCCAAGTACATTCAATCATTTCAAAGCATGAAACAAAGCACATATTGATTTGAATTTATCTAAAATGGATAAGATATAGCTCATGTCCAACAGGGGCAAATTCAAAGAATGAATGAATGAACAGAACACTTTATTTGCAGCTTTTCAGCATTCACAAGGTACAATCAAAATTTCCATATCCAAACCCAAATTCAAAGATGACCAAATATGATAACTATATTATGGCTCAACCTCAAAATTTTTTGCAGTTTTTCATGTCTATATGCTCCTGATTCTTTTGAGAAAAGTGGATCTTTTACAGGTATATTTTCGCTCATTTCTCGCTTTTGCGTGGATTTCTAAAAAACGTGGGAAAATACATTGCAGGATTTTATGACATTTTCCACTGGTTGAAAGGAAAAACATGACGAATCCGCAGCGTCAAAACATATTTACATTACTTCATTTTAACCCACGAAAATTTGAGTCCATAGCCTCGGAATTCCTCGGTATGTCTCATGTTCACATGTATAATCTATTTTCTGTAGAAAAAATGGACGAGATAATCGCGAAATTACAAAAAAAAATATTACCGACTGCAATATTCCAGAATGCAATAAATTGCCATTGTGCTTGCTTACGTCGAATAATTTGCTCCCTGTTATGGAGCTTCAGCTCATTAAATGAGCCGAAAGCTTCATTATATAACTCCGGTACTGTATTTCCTGTCCCTGTCGCCATAAATTCTTGCATGAGAATTTTTACCAGGGCATTTTAAGGAATTGATTTGTTATTGATGTTCTATTCCACGAGGAACCCCCGCAGAACATGCTGTATGAAGTCAAGGGAAAACAATAAGATTCGATCAAGAGAAATGCCGTAAAATTGACAAGTACAGATCAAAATTCTTTTTTCACTAATCAGTTGAAGTATATATACATGAGCAATTATCGACCTGATGGTAATATTTTCCAAAGGAGAATCGAGTTTCCCCGTTTCCGCGGAATTCACCGCATCATCCATCCATCAACATGGACAAATATAATCAGAGGAGGTGGGATGAGATTCTAATATTTGATTGATGTCAAGGACAATTTGTTTCCATTATTCTATCGCGTTATAATGAATCGGTTATACTTGATATCAGGGTTAACGGAGGTCGGGTTAAACGCATTTGATGCTACAGCGGAACATGATGCCTCATTCGAATTGCTAATGCAATATATATACTGTATCTATTACCACCGAATATGCGAGAGAAACACGTCATGATCTTGCAGCGACATCTGAAAATGGAAATAGAAGTCAGAGCTCTGTTTTTAAGTAGGAGTCGCTCCTACAGAAGCTGAAGATGCGGCTAACGCATTGGTAGTCATGCAAATTGCCAAAAGTACACTCCAATTGAACAATTCGAATGAGAAGCCTTCAGAAATCATGAGTTCTACTGTACAGTATTTGCATTTTGACACAAACAAGAATTTAAAGGTGATTTGACAGACTTTCAGCACCAAACATTTTTAAAAAACATTTTCAGACAAGAGAAATAGCTTTTTTTAACTTTTCCTCATACAAAATCATCAAGCAGAGAATAAATTAATTGAGAAGCCATTCATTTCAAAGATTCAAAATGGACTACTGCGCAGTAAAATTTTGGAAATTGAAACAATCACACCAAGCTACTACAGTTGAACGACTTGAACCTCACTAAGTCAAATACATCCATCAGACAATTTTTTGGAGTCTCCATCTGAATTCCCTTAAAAACAATGTATTAAAAAATTTCCTAACTGGAAGTATTTCCCTCTAAAACCTCCATAAGTCACATTTTTTAGGCCATTATTTTATTGAAACAGGACAGATAAAGGCAATAAAAATGAAATTTGATGTGCTTTGAAGGGATGTGACTGACTAAATTGGGCAAATGAACTGCTGTCTCCAACTTGAGTGCCCTGTCAACTCATTTTTAAAGCAATTTGAGCAATTGAAGCAATCTAGTACCATTTTTTAATATTTCCCACAATAAAAATGCTTGATTCTAAAATTTGAATCTGCAATTCTATATAACTCAAAACCTTCCTATAAGTAAAATTTTTTGCTGAACCCTTGAAATTTAACTTCAAGAAGTTCAACTGTATCTCAATTGTTCATGAGATTGTATTGTTGATACAGCATTAAAATCTTGTAGCAGAAAGCCATTTGAACAAAAAATAAAACTTTCTCATGCAAAACTAGAATGGAAATTTTTATCATCAAACAAATGAATAAGATTGAGGTCACTGCATGGCTAGGCAGCAGGAGAATTTAAAACTCTTCCTTGTAATAGTATCCCTCATACAGGGTGGACTCCTTTCTCTACAATAACAATCTTGTCCAAAACAATTCCTCCTAGATGATACAATTTTTTGGTTCCTCTTAAGGGGATCTTTCCATGTACAGGTTCTCTACAACAAATATTTTTTGGGCACATTGCATTTTTTGCCAAGCATATCCACCTGTAATGATACAATTGAACCTTGATAAGCCAAATCTCTCCAAGTTGAATTTTTTTCAAGTCCCTGTCTGAATTCCCTCAGAAACACTTCATTGAAAACTTTTCAACACAAAAGCTTTTCTTCAAACCTCCATAACTTGAAATTTCTGAGGCCTTTTTGCTATTATTTTCTAGAAAAAGGAATAAAAAAAAAGCAATAAAACATGGAATTTGATTTGTTTTGAATGTGACCAACTACATTGGGTCAATGAACCAACTCCTGCCTCAAAGTTTTGCAGCCTTTCGATTCATTTTAGGAGTAATTCAAGGCCCCTAATATCACAATTTAGTGAAATTCTTCAAATCTTCCCACAACAAAATACAGTAGTTTGCTTCCAAAGCTCAAGCATCTAAAACTCAAATCCTCCCAAAGTCAGCATTTTTTGCTGGTCCCTTGAATTTCAACTTGGAGAGGTTCAACAGTATTACTTAATGAATGAAATTCGCTTGCAGGAAGTTCCTACCGTAATTTGTTTTGTTTTTCATACACGTAGCACTCAGAATATTCTAGTACTGTATGCATGTCCAAGATTAGATCGTTTTGAAAGAACAACCTGACCCCATTAAAAAAAAAGTAACAGGACCAAGAAAAGAAGCAGGAATAGGATCATTTTTTCATCTCGGCTCATATGAACGGTAACACAACCAACATAAATTTGTCGAAAAAAGCATCAAAAACACGTACGGTCCCTTTGTTTTTTTTGTTTGTTTTTTTGATTCACCAAATTGTTTACGTACCACCGAAGCAAAAAAAAATAAAAATGCCGAATTCCCGGGTGCAAATACGCCTCCTTGGAATAAACCCAACGCACAGCACAACAACCCAAAATTTGCTTTTCGAATCAAATAAACTTTTAAACAATCGTGACGGAACCATTGAAAACACATATGTTACATATTTTACAGTACAGTACAATACACAAGATTTCCGCTCAATGTTATCATCATTATTGATGCACTCCGCTCACTCGGCTTCATGGATCGGAATTGTTTTTCTGCGATTCGTGAGAGGCACAATTTGCATGCGATCAATCAACTTTAATGGAAAGCAGAATTTTTTTTTCCATCTCTCTCGCTTTTTTTTTTTGCACTAGCACGTTTTAAACAGCAAGCTCTTGAATTGTTTTTCATGTGTTGGCTGTCGTAAGACCACGTTTCAGGCACTGTTGACAGCCTTTTCGAAAAAGTTGGCCTTGTCTTTGAAAGCCGCTCGACGCTGTTTCTGCTCAACGGCTTGCTTCTCCTTTTCCTGCTTCTCTGCTTTCAGTTCCGATTCGAATTTCGACGCTTCTGACTGCTCCTTGATCTGTTTTAAAATTTTTAAACAAGAAAAATGAAATCTCAAAACATGGTTGTGAAGAAAACGAATAAATTTCTGACAAGAAAGGTGATGAGAAATTTAAAATCTAAAAATCTAAGATGCATATGATTTTTTTCAATTACTGTAAGCATAGTTTTAACGGGGTGTGAAAATCCCTCGTTCTAAATCCATGTTCAACAATCTGTTAGTTTCTTAGCAGCTACATAGGTGTCGCCTGAAACACCAAAGAGAGACAAGTTCACCTCAAATATATGCTACTCAATAATTTTAAGTGCGTTCTTGAGCAATAAACCCCTAAGCAACACATTTCTTCAATAATCAAACAGGGTATGGACGCCATTTTGCCTTGAACAAAAAAATTGACCACCGCAACAAACCTCATCGAATCAAGTATAAAAATCGTAATTTAAAAAAATCAATTCTCGAATGGGAGAAAATTGCACAATTTCATGACAAAATACTACAAAGTTGAAAGCAAAAATTGCAAACTGCAATTTCAGAAATGAATGAAAATTTGCTTCTAATTTTGCACGTTTTTAATCATTTCAATAATTGCTTATTGATGCAATGTTTTTTTTGCATTCTCGTCGGTTTTAGAATTTGTTATGATCATATTCTTTATTTTTACCTTGTTGATTTTTCACTCGGGAACCAATTAAACAATATCCTATAGGTTATTATTGTAAATTGTGCTTCATCTGAAAAACGCATTGAGTCATGACTCAACCACTAGAACACACTATGTTCGTTGCTCAAGGCCACACTGCGTAGAAAATTTTCGGCGAAGTTATTAAATTACAGTATGTTATTCGAAGAACGTTTAGCACAGGTCATGGAACTCATAGAACTGAAGAAACCCGCAAAATAAAAATACGAAGGCGAATAATTACTGAAATACATTGCTGTATAGCTATAAATTTCTTTTTCTCTCCTTTTCAAAATTGAGTCATGAGAAAGTAAATTGGGAGAAAAATATAAATCAGTGAAAGGTGAGATTTTCAGCTATTCTTATTTTTGACTACCAAAAAAATTCATATTGAAGACAGAACGTTTTCTCGTAATTTAATTTTATAAATCAAGAGAATCGCACTTTAGCCTCGAAGAAAGTTTTCGCTCCTCCAACACCGACTTCAACGACGTCGATTTCCGTGAGCTTCGCCAATTCGTTGAGAGCAGAATTTTCCAGCTCTCCGGCTCTGGCCTTTTGCAAAATGTGCATAAACTGAAAAAAGAGAGAAAGAAAGAAAACGAATCAATAATAATGCAAACGATCAGGTGAGAAGGAAATATTTTCAGCTGACCTCTCTGAAGGAAATGGCGTCCAACATGTCGTGATTGCCGCCGTCTTTGATCATTTGCTTGAGACCCAAATGCGTCTGCGGCGCCCCCAAGTGTTCCATCATTCTCTTCAACTCCAGAAGGTTCAGGAATCCGTCCTTATCCATGTCCCACCTACAGGGAAATCATCACAAAGAAAAAAATATATTACTGTTTTCTATTTAGCTCATATAATCATACACTCAATTCTTTGGACATGAACGAGAGGCTATTTTTGAAATAAGTTTTTCTTCGCCAAAAAGCTCGTTTAATTGAAATCATGCAATGGCGGTCCTCCGACCGATTTTATTTTTTTCCTGCGAATAAATATTCATTGCAATTCAAAAATAGCAACATTCTGCCACTAGACTCCATTTTGTTTTAAATCCGGAAACGCGACTTTTTGCCAAATTTTCACAGACATCATAATTCAACCACTCAATCAATCCTCCCCCTCTCATTTTTTTTGGCACAGATTGACAACCTCGGTTTTATCTCATGAAAAAATCCGTTATAATATGAGATTTCGGGTTATTTGCGCAAGTGGAACTGACATTTTGTGGGAAACAGGTTAAAATATGCTCCAAAGTAATCGTGAGAAGAATTGCCATTATTTTCCCCTGTTATTTGTATGATATAATAAAGAAAATTCAAAATGTAAAATCCAATACTTGTATTACAGACCTTTCCTTTCTTTTATTTCCTCAAAATATAGTGATTTTACTGAATTATGAGCTGAAACAAACAGAAAATACATGAGTAAGAAGACCATGTACTGTATTTTTAACAAATGCGTGTTCCCTGAAATAGAAGAGTAAACTTTCAAACAAACCTTTTAAAATTAGTCATTTTAGAATTCCAAATTAAATGTACATTAGATACATATTGACTAGAACTTCTTACATCCTGCTAAACTTAAATTTTCTGTTAAAGAAAGTGGCATTACTATAATTTGAAGGGTTTTTGTTATGCACAACTTGGGTTTTCCAACATTCAGAAAATTTGTAAAACTGCTTAAGGCCCATGCAAAAATAATCAAGGCAAAAATTCTCAATAATCTCTTCGTCGAAAGAAAATTTCTGTTACAATAACATTTTTGCCTTGAAGGAATTACTGGGAACGAGAAAAAAATCCGTTGTAACGTCAAAATCGTTACAACGAAATAGTTGAAACGGAATTTTATTTATTTATTTATTCCCTGTTGACAAAACAAAAACCTTCAAAACTCAATTTCAGCATCTTTTTCATAGCGTCAAATTCTTCCAATGTCGACTGAATTGATCACGTCGAAAAAGGACTGAGAAAAAATAGCTCTGGGAATATCATTCAAAATTTCGTACTGTAAACGTCACGCTTTTTTTTTTTCGGCGGGGGATTCTTAATTAGAAGCCAGATATTCAAACAATAAGATAAACAACTGACATATTTAAAAAAAATGATGAGAAGTGAAGTAGGGCAGCAGCTCTGGGAAAATACTGCGAAAATTCCCACGGTCAGTTTGAAGAGAAATTTTCATCCCAAGATATCAAGAACGGGCAGCAGCACATTGATTCCATGTGAAATCTCGCCAAGAATGAAGATATTGCGTTCCCATAATGTTTTCGACATGTTTTTGCCTTCTCCCGCACGTGATTTAATTTATGTAAATCGAATTCATTGATTCAGTGCGGTTTTATTTTCCCCTACGAAAAAATCCACCCCTGTTTTATTTAAGCTAATTTTTTAACAAATTTTTGTGCAGTTTTTTCCCCCACTGAACTTAGTATAAAAACAAATTACAGTCAACCCCTGCACAACGGACTTAATTTGTGCAACACACTAGTCCGTTGTGTGAAAAGTCTGCATTTAATTATTGAAAATTAAACATTTTACCATTACTTTTAAACCAACAGAAGTCTGTTATGCGGATTTAGTCCATTGCACAGGTCAGTTGTGCATGGGTTGACAGTATTTCAAGCTGAAGGAAATTAGAATAACTGTATTTCTGTTGTGAAAATTTATATTTTACAGAAACATTTTGCTCAAGTACAGTATCATAAGTGGATTTGAAATTTGAATAAATTCATCAGGTTTGAATGAATTTATTCATCATTTCATAAAACCTTTAGATTCATCCTGGAAATCGCAATATCTTTTTAAACTGATTTGTGTCCCTGGGATTTTTTTTTTTGGGTTTAGATGGCAACCACAACAAAAAATTGCGATTAAGCGAAATTGTTTCCAGAAACTCTTTGCTTTGTAACTTAGCGCTGAAAATAAATCCACTAAAAAAAATTTTGGTAAAAAAATTTGACAAAAAAGCAAGCAAATTAATTCATAATTCCTCTTCTCTTCAGTGCATCAGCATAGTTCTCATGTATCATTAACCTTCAGGGTTTTTCATAACTGGATAAAAATCGCCCATTCATGACCAGGTTCAAAGAAGTACAGCAATTAATGCCAATTCCAGGATTTCGCAATTTTTGCACAGTATTCTAGCTGTCTTGATCAAAAAGACTTGGCACAATTACGCAAGTTCGCTGTAACAAGATTGCACTCCTAAACGTTCAGTGATTTACATTCATATTTCCTCATTGCTGATCCACATACAAATTTACAGGGTTACCAAAATTCAGCTTGTTGTGACGCGCTTTCTATTTTTTATTCATGCCATGAAAAAGGTTAGTGTCACGGGGCGACATCTACACAAAGCTGCAGCAAACAATGGATATAACCAGACAAACCATCAACCCTTTGAAGGGCGCGGACGGGAACTTTTCCTGTAAATATTGCACTTACAATCATCTTCCGTCTAAAATTGTGAAATGTATTTTACGGATTCAAAATTTTGGGATGAAAAATTATAGCAACACCTCCATTAACATAAAACGAGCTCGTGGAATCATAAGCGATTATTCAAGAGAACCTATTGAAATAGAGGTGGAATTCTGTTTCAAGAAAAATCCCCAATAACGAAACTTTCAACATAAAAATTAAGTTCAAAGCTTTCAGCAGAAAAAAAATATAATAACGCTTTATAAAAATTCGCGTACAAATTTAGGAATTGAATACAGCAAATTTAATTGCCAACGGGTTTCAGGTACTTCAGTTCCCTCCCCACTTTTAATTGTAATCCGAAAAATAAATTCCTCAAAGAATGATGAAAAAAACTATATAAAATTATTTGAAAAAAAGAGGGCCTGTGGTGGACGTTTTTCCCCATCAGAAAACTTGACTGCTTCTGCTGTGGAAGATTTTTCGTTATTTTCAGCTGGAAATATTATCTTTTTGCTGCAACAATTCTCTCATGAAGTCACAAAAATTATCAAAGATGTGTCTCCAATTCCTAGGGGGATTGAACCCCCAAAATTCTTATACTGTACTACGGTACTTTAGTTTCGTTAAAACGAGCTTTCCAGAGTTTCCGGAAGTTCGTTGTGCGGAGATTTCGCCCGAAACAATATACACTCATACAGTTGTTGTATCCCCCTGAAAGGACTTGTATAGCTTTGAGTAGGACGAATTTATGGCCATTCGCAGCGTTTTACGACATCCTGTCTTGTAAAGTTTTACGAGATCATCAAGAGAAAACACATAAAACGAAGGAAGCCACAACTTTCCAGGCTTGAGAAACATGGAGACTCGACTTTTCCACCTTGAAGCATACTGCTGATGCAAAAATTATTGTATAAATGAAAAAGAGTCCTTTCCAAAGGGTGGAGCAACATTTTTAATTTTGGAATTCGATTTTTCAGTATACTGTGCTGTATATCCTTCCTATGATGGAGAAAGAAGGTGATACAAGGGCTGGTTCATAAGTTTTGAGACATTTTGAAATACAGTAGAATTCTGTTAAAACAAATCTTGGTATAAAGAATTTTTCGTCATAACAATTTTTTGTGGTCCTGGCAGTTTCCCTCAGGCATAAAGCTGAAATTTCATTATAACAAAGTAAATTTAGGCTGTAATCTCATAACACATTTTTGGGCATGATTCTCTGCATTACCCATATAGGAATTACTTGATAAATGGCAGAAAATGTAGAAAACATTTTAAGATCCAGCATTAAAAATTAACAAAAAAAAATCTTCATGTACAGAAAACTTTGTGTCCAAAAAAATGCACAACAGGACATTTTTTTGGAAATTCTTCAGCTCACCAATTTTAGTATGCATGCCTTTTTCAAATAAGCAGTATGTAAGAAGAATGCTCCTCCATGTTTGAAAGAGCTATGTGTGAATAAGTTGATTGAGAACAAAGTGCAGTAGTTTTACCATATTTAATTTTGTTTGATTTTATTTTTGAAGACAAGCAATACTTTAGCACAAATGTTAGTTCATTTAAAGGAGAGTTCTATTTATATCAAAGGATTTCACTTCATTTATCAGAAGTACTTGAATTATTTGTTTTAGAAGCATTTTGAAGTATGTATTCCCCATTTTCAATAAAATTCCTGTCAGAAATGAGCTAAAAATCATTAATCTCAATATAACAAATTTTTAATTATAACACATTTTTTCTCAGGTCCCTGGGAGTTTGTTGTAACAAGTTTTTACTGTAGATCCAACTGAGTTTTTACAATTTAAACAAAAATATTTTACTCCCATAACCCCATCATTTGGCAACACTTCAGTGCTATTCAAAATTCTCTCCACCAATTTCAATAAAATTTTTTCATGCAATAAATACAATGAAGGATCAAGAGAGTGCCAAAAATTGAGTTCTATTGATTGATGAAGCTGCTCTTTGACCCTGGAAATGAGGATGTGCTCCATCCTCAAAGTCAATCCCTTGTGAGTTTGTTTTCATTGTTGGGAACAGCCAGAAAAATGACAGGGTGTCTATAATCAACAAACAGAACTCAATTTTTGGCACTGTCTTCATCGTTGGGACTTATTGCATGAAAAAATGCATTGAAATTGGCAGAGTATATGTTGAACAGCACTGAAGTGTTGCCAAATGATGGGGCTATGCAAGTAAAAAAAAAAACCAAAATAATTTTTGGGATTCTTAAAACTCCATTGGATCTATTCCAAAAAGTCTTGAAACTTATGAAACAACCCTCGCATATGCTTTCTTCTGCACAGTTGTTTTCTGTATCTTGAAATTGAGGGAATTCAACTTCTTTCACTCAAATTTTGAAAGAAGTTCAACAGGATCATAATTGAAATGTTTCCTTTCCACAGAAGTATACTGTACTCTTCCATTGCTTCTTCAGATTTCATCGGGTCTCACTTTTGAAAGGTGGTCGCAAACGCCTTGATTTCCTTGACGCCGAATTCCGGGAACTCGGAATAAACGTGGTACACTTTGTTCTTGACGCGCACGTCTCGACCTTCCTCCAGTNACGTCTCGACCTTCCTCCAGTCCTTCATTGATGTCGCACCTACGCGACAAAATGGCTGACAGTTCAGAGTCTGCCGGCATCTTGTTCCTTTCCTCTGCGGTGCTGTCCTGGTGTTGGTGGTCTGTGTCACTGATGCTTGTGGGATCCTTGTCGGGACTTGATCCAAGGCCAGGGGATAAGTTGTCTACTTCTTGTTGCCCTGTGTTTTCAGCGTCGATTGATCCTGCAGAAAATCAACATTACACATCAAATAACTGTAAGAATGAAGTAACAAACATAATTGGTTCCAGACAAAAGTTTGTTGACTGAATTTGATTTTCACATAGACTTCAATGAGGAAGAATTTAATCTGTTCAGTGAGCCCAAAAGGCAAATGAACATTGAGTGCAAAAATTTAAGACTATCAACTATGATCAGAATAAGGTGTTGCTGAATCCAGAATGTTTTTACAGCATTATATGGAAATAGCACTGATGAAAACAAAAATTAAATAAAGCTTCACATCCAGAGAAACACAGACTGAAGGATAAATGTCAGGTGAGAATGAAATTTCTCTTTTTATGCTCCAAGTAAATGTCAAATACAACTTTCTAAAAATTAAACCAAGCACCAAAAAATTATTCTGTCACAGAAAAGCATATCAAGAATATAGCTGAAAAATATTTAAAAAAAAATTACACCCATCAAGTACCAGGAGGAAGGCATTTCATATCAGTGCATAGGTGAATCATTTGCTCTCAGGGAACATCTCTTTTCAAATGTATCCCTTTGCAACTTATAAACTTTCATCAAAATTTGAAAATCCACACCTTGCACACACATGAACATCATTATTTTCACAAAAAAAGTACTGCACAGTACAGATGGAATATCTTTACAACACAATTCAGGGGAACCAAAGATATTTTTTTGCAGATAACATTGGTAATCTTTGTGAAGATTCCTATATGGGACCAAAATTTGGTTGACAGAGAAAAATGGTGAAGACAACAGTACAGTGGGTCTTGTTTTACAAAAGTAATCCATTTCTGACCAAAGTTTGTCAACCAAATCACATTTCCCCTCAAGAAAGTACAGAAATAATTTCAATGCATTCTAGAACCTTGACAGTATCCATGAAAATCACCAACTATTTTACCTATGATTTTTACTGGACCTAAAATCCAAGAAACTTTATTGAAAACCTCAAAGAGAAGCTCAAAGAAGTATTGATGAAGACAGGAGACTACAAAGGATGTCTGACAGGGTGGGTGGAGTCAAAACTGTCTTTGTTGAAATAAATCAAGTAAATTTATTCAAGCCTCGTATTCAATTCTTTCACATAATTCATTCACTCTGCACTTTTGAGCAACCTGTGTCTGTAAACAGAATAATTATAGTAGATTAAAAAATTAATCTAAATCCGGACAAACAAACGGACAAGAAAGCGAGTTAATAAAAACTTGTTAATAATAAATAATATGAAGGACAGGTGTAAAGGGCAATATTTGGTTGAAAAATAATTTGAAAATCACATCTAAAATGGGAACCCTGTCATGAAACAAAACCAGATTGAGATAACTATAAAGAAATAAATTTCAAAAAAAAATTGCTAAAATAAGTCCAAACATGCATGAATCCTTTTATTTTTTTTATTCCATCCTCAATCGTGTAGAAGAGTAAGAAATGGCAACTGGGAAATATATGGGGAAAATTACAGACCCAAGGGGGTGAGGAAGTTTGGAGGCTCACCTTTGAATCCCCAAAGTTTGTAAACCAAGTTATGGTTTGTTATCCAAGGCAAACAAATTCAAAGTTTGTTAACCACAGAATTCATTAACCAAGACCCTACTGATTGATATTTGATAGCTTCATTCTTGAAGATTCTTGTCGTAAGTTTCCCAAAAAAATATGTATATCTGATTCTCCAGATTGTTACATAATTTTGTGTGCAGATATTTTCAAGTTCATCGATATCAACTGATTTTCATTCAACGAACGCAGAAATTTCCAATGTGCTTTGAAAAATCCACCTGATAAAATCATGAATCACTCCAGTGGATATGTAAAAATTATTTCACGGAAATAAAGTTCGCTGTCAGGCAAAAAATATTATGATGCACTGTACTTCAGAAAAATGTACAGTACTTCCGAAAAAATCATTTAAAAATTGAAAGTCTACAGAAAGTTTTTTTCCCATCAATTGCTCCACCAGCTGTTATGAAAAAAACAAAAAATTACAGCAGAATCTCGGTACAACGAAGCATTTCGGACCTTCATCACAATACTTATAATCGAAATTTTGTTATAACTAAATTTAAATAATATTAGGGCTATATTGCACAGGGTACAATAAACAAATTTTTTTTCTAAGCACTGATTCGTTATACAGATATTCGTTGTAACGATAATTTACTGCATTATAACTTTCAACGAATCCATCACGATTCAGCAGAACAACTCGCAAAATACGGATTTTTTTTCAGCGTACGTCGTGCCAATTTTCGGATCAAAGGCCATTCGCTGAACAAAAAAATTGCGAAAACCAAATCGTTGATAACTCATGAAAATTTAAGCGTCGGTGAAATTTTTCGAACATGAAAAATAGCTCTCGCAATTAAAAACCATTTCCGCACAACCCATCCGGGGGAAAGTACAATTCTAATCAGCCCGGAAGCACGCATATCATAAAATTTTCAAATAATCCCCTTTCCTCACTTTCACTGATGGACATGACAATTATCGACATCGCAACGCCGTCAGTGAAAGAGCCCGCAGAAATTAGACTGACACGCTCAAAGGGAAGATAATCCCTTCTTTTTTTAATTATGGCACAACACCCATAAGAGTTTTGTAAAAAAAGAAAAATAAATTGAGGCATCTCGGAAACAAGACAAACAAACAAAAAACGAACTGGAGGTACTTTCTAGAAACATGGGCTCTAGAATCTAGAACAGTGTTCCCCGACCTTTTTGGTGGCGTGGACTGGAAAATTTTCTCAAAGTTTTTTGCGGACCAGCGAATTTCCAAACAATTTTCTGCAGACCGGCAAAGTTCCATGAAATTTTTTGAGGACCAGCAAATATTCATGAAATGTTTGGATGCTCAAAAACTTTTGCTTGGAACACAGCTTAGCATTTGAAAATTTTCTGTTTTTTATGTGCAAAACTTGAGTCAAGAACCAACAAAACAGTTTTAGTGGAATGTCTTTAAAAAAATGTGAATGTGAATAATTTATTAAATCAGGCAAAAATTTGTCTGAAGTATTATTAGAGGAGAAATGTCAAGATATAGCTTTCATGAAATAATTTCAACTTCGATTGTCTTGCCAAAATTTAAGATGAAAATACTGTAATGTCCAGAAAAATGTATAAGCTGAAGAAATTTCCCACGGACCAGTAAAAAACTTCTGCGGACCAGCACCAATTTTTGCCAGTCGGCGGGAAATTTTCTGCAGCATAGTGATTTTATCAAATATGTAGCAATGAAGTCTGTTATGTTTATGCAAAATTTAGAAAAGACAATTGCAGAGTTGAAATTGTCTGATGAAAAAATAAAAAGTTGGCTTTCTCCCAACAAACACTTTGGACAAATTTTTGCAACCTGAAAAAAAGTATTCTAATTGTTTCATCCTGAGAAACCTTTCTTCAAGCCCACCTTTCTAATTTTTGGAAGAAATTTCCCTATATGTAGCAGCTTCATTGGTTCTTAATTTTCTGCAAAGAAGCAAAAAAATTTAAATATATGCCATAAAGTTTTTTGGGCAAACGTTTTGAGTCTGCAAAAAATTAATGAAACTTTGCTGGTCTGCAAAAAAAATTTTGAGGAATTACCCAGCCATCAAATTTTTTGGTGGAAATTTGCTGGTTCAAGGTCACAAAAAGGTTGGGGAACACTGATTGAGATCATTTCAACTGTATTACACTCAACACCCAATTTACTGCCACCCTTGCACAGTGCCACACATTTTCACAAACCCCTCAACTTCATATTCTTCAAGGGGAAAATTCAGTGCCCACTCAATCAGAGGAAAAAAATCTTTAAAATGCTGTAAAAGGGGAATAATGAAAGAAAACCCAGAATTTTATGAAGGTTATCATTAACTTATAAATGAGAATAACCTCATACATAAAACGTAAACACATAAAACTTGGGATAATTTCAAAATTTCAATTTTTGAATTTTTTGTACAAAAATAATATATTTTTGCAGCTTGCATGACACCCTCCACCAAATATTTAAAGGAATTGGAGGCTTTAAACAAAGCACTGGTGATTCCTTCATGACAGAACTTGATTCCTTCGTGGCAGAACTTGATTCCTTCATGACAGAACTTGATATAAAACTCGAATTTTTACAAAATCTTTAGAAACAGCTCTGCTCTCATGGACATGATACTGTATGTTTAAAAACTGAATACTGTATATTGTCTGAAAAAATATTTTCAAAATATAAAAACAGTAATTGTAGCTTTAAATTATTTATTGTGGCTTTTGTTCTGTTATCATCGGGAAAATACCTGATGATATACACACAC